TATTCTGCAGCACGACGTTCTTGCCATGGTTGAATATCATTTTTAATTTTGTTGATATCTAAACCGTTTGGACCACGTAATGGTTCTACCCATGGAGCACGTAAATCCCAGAAACGCATTGTTTCACCACCAAAAATGATCTCACCACTTGGTGAACGCATTAAGTATTTACCTAAACCAGTTGGACCTTGCGCAGAAGATACGTTAGCACCTAAACGTTGATCTCGAACTAAGAAAGTAAATGCTTGTGATTGTGATGCTTCTGGACCAGTTGGACCGTATAATTCACTAGGGTATGCTGTGTTGTTATACCAAGCGTATAAAGCAGCAGTGAAACCCATTAATGAAATTGCAGCTAAACTGTATGATAAATATGCTTCACCAGACCATACGAAAGCACGACGTGCCCATGCAAATGGCTTAGTGAAAATGTGCCAGATACCACCTGTGATACATAAAATACCAACCCAAATGTGACCACCAACAACATCTTCCATATTGTTTACAGAAACAACCCAACCGTCACCACCGAATGGAGAACGGAATACGTAACCGAAAATTACAATTGGGTTTAATGTTGGAGTTGTGATGTAACGAACATCACCACCACCTGGTGCCCATGTATCATAGATACCACCTAAGTACATTGCTTTGATTACTAATAAGAATGAACCTAAGCCTAATAAACATAAATGAATACCTAAAATTGTAGTCATTTTGTTTTTATCACGCCAGTCATAACCAAAGAATGGGAATGATTCTTCTAAAGTATCAGGACCTAATAAAGAGTGGTAAATACCACCAAAACCTAAAATCGCTGATGAAATTAAGTGAATAACACCTACTGCAAAGTATGGTACTGTTGATGTGATTTCACCACCAGGGCCAATACCGTAACCTAATGTTGCTAAGTGTTGGATTAAAATGAAACCTTGTTCATATGTTGGTTTTTCTGGTACAAAGTGTGATACTTCGAATAATACCATAGCACCAGCCCAGAATACCATTAAACCTGCGTGTGCTACGTGAGCACCTAATAATTTACCAGAAACATTGATTAAACGAGCGTTTCCACTCCACCAAGCGAAACCTGTTGATTCAATGTCACGGCCTGCAATACTACTATTAAAGGGCGTTTCCACGTGGTAATACCTCCTCAGGGAATACGAAGTTTTCATGCGGTTGATCTTGTGCCGCCATCCATGCACGGATACCTTCGTTTAATAAAATGTTTTTTGTGTAGAATGTTTCGAATTCTGGATCTTCCGCAGCACGTAATTCTTGTGAAACGAAATCGTATGCACGTAAGTTTAATGCTAAACCTACAATACCTACAGCACTTGTCCATAAACCTGTTACAGGTACGAATAACATGAAGAAGTGTAACCAACGTTTGTTAGAGAATGCTACACCGAAAATTTGAGACCAGAAACGGTTCGCTGTTACCATTGAATATGTTTCTTCAGATTGTGTTGGTGTGAACGCACGGAATGTGTTTGCAGCATCACCATCTTCAAATAACGTGTTTTCTACAGTTGCACCGTGAATAGCACATAATAATGCACCACCTAAAATACCAGCAACACCCATCATGTGGAATGGGTTTAATGTCCAGTTGTGGAAACCTTGTAAGAATAATAAGAATCGGAAAATTGCAGCAACACCGAAACTTGGAGCAAAGAACCAACTAGCTTGACCTAATGGGTATAATAAGAATACTGATACGAATACAGCAATTGGACCTGAGAATGCAATTGCGTTATATGGACGAATACCTACTAAACGAGCAATTTCAAATTGACGTAAACAGAAGCCAATTAAACCGAAAGCACCGTGTAAAGCGATGAATGTCCATAAACCACCAATTTGACACCAACGAGTGAAATCACCTTGTGCTTCTGGACCCCATAATAATAATAATGAGTGACCCATACTGTTAGCTGGAGTTGATACTGCAGCTGTTAAGAAGTTACAACCTTCAAGGTATGAACTTGCTAAACCATGTGTGTACCATGACGTTACAAATGTAGTACCTGTCATCCAACCACCTGCTGCTAAATATGCAGTAGGGAATAATAATAAACCTGACCAGCCAACAAAGACAAATCTATCTTTTTTTAACCAATCATCAACTAGATCAAATAAACCACGTTCTTGGTTTTGTCCAATAGCAATGGTCATATTTTTTAATCCTTAAATAAAATTAATTTTAAAGTAAACCGTTACTAATAATGTAAATTTTTACTTTCGTCTTATCATCTTATACTTATGATTATACATGAATCTTAAAATAAATTTGAAGATTCAAAAAAAACATTTGAAATTATAAACTACTAGATTTTGAGATTAATGAAAAAATAATTATTTTCAAATAAAATAATTATTTTATTTGAAAATTAAAAATATTAAGCAATATCATCTTGTTGAACGTATAAGAAAAATAATGCCATACTAAATGCCGGGAAAATTAAACCAACAATTGGTACTAAAATTGACGGTAAAAAAGCTGCTGCCATATTAAATTTGAATTTTTAAATTTTATTATTAGCACAAAATTAGTACTAAGTCGCACTATTATTAATTGTATATGAAAATATCAGAGAATTAAAAAAATATCCTTAAGATAAATCAAACTTTTCCGTATTTTTATAGTAGAATTAATAATATTAAATTTAATATATTTAACATTTTATAGATCTATATAGAGGTTTTAATTATGGAAAGTTTATTATTAGCTCGATTACCTGAAGCATACGTTGCATTTAGTCCGATTGTTGATGTCTTACCAATTATCCCAGTTTTCTTTTTACTATTAGCTTTTGTATGGCAAGCTGCCATTGGTTTTAGATAAGGTCGAAAGTACACGAAAAAATTATTATTTCGAATTATATTTTATTGACTAGAGTTTTAAACTTTAATTCAATAGTTGAAATAATTAGGAATATGTACTAATACTATATCATAAATTTATAATATTAAAAACAAATGGTAGAACCTTTATTATCTGGAATCGTTTTAGGAATGATCACTGTAAGTGCTTTGGGTTTATTTGTTGCTGCATATTTACAATATAACCGTGGTAAACAATTTGATTAACAAAGTTTAATAATACTTAAGCTCTTCTTAAGTATTATTACTTATTTTTTTATAGTAATATTTTCAAATTTAAAGAATAAATAATAAATAAATTCTAATAATTATATTTTTAATTATTAGAATTTATTATGAAATTATGTTAAAGATACTTTACCACCAGCTGCTTCGATTTGTTTTTTCGCATCTTCAGCTGCATCTTTACTAATACCTGCTTGAACTTCTTTCGGAGCAGATTCTACTAATTCTTTAGCTTCTTTTAAACCTAAGCCTGTTAAACCACGAACAACTTTTAATACAGCAATTTTCTTATCAGCTGGTACTTCGTCTAACATTACTGTAAATTCAGTTTTTTCTTCCGCTTCTTCAGCAGGACCAGCAGCAGCCATTACAACAGCACCACCGCCAACAGCAGCAGAAGCATCTACACCAAATGTTTCTTCAATTTTTGATACTAATTCTGAAGCTTCTAATAATGTTAATGTTTTTAACTCTTCAACGATTTGATCGATTTTATCTGACATAATAATTCTCTTTTTTTAATGTATTTAAATATAATTTAAGTTTTAAGCAAAAATACCTAAATCTAATTGAATAGACGGGCCCATACTTGTACAGATAAATAGATTTTTAAAATATTTACCTTTAACACCTGAAGGACGGTTTTGTTCAATTGATTCGTATAATGCTGTTAAGTTTTCAACTAATTGTGTTTCTGTAAAGTTTGATTTACCAAAACTTACGTGAACAACACCAGTTTTATCTGCTTTGTATTCAAATTTACCTTTTTTGAAATCTGATAAAGTTTCAGTTAAAGTAGTACTAACTGTACCTGATTTTGGTGATGGCATTAACCCCTTTGGTCCTAGTACTCGACCTAATTTAGCTAATTTTGGCATCATATCAGGTGTTGCAATTAATAAATCAAAATCAATGTTACCTTGACTGATTTGTTCAATTAAATCGTCATTTCCAACAATATCGGCACCTGCCGCTTGAGCTTCAGCCATATTACTATCATTTGCTAAAACTGCAATTTTAATTGATTTACCAACACCATGTGGTAAAGTTACAGTTGTTCTTAATTGTTGATCTGCATATTTTGGATCAATATTTAAGTTTGCGTGTAATTCAACTGTTTCATTAAATTTTGCTGTTGCAGTTTCTTTTAAAATCTTAATAGCTTCTTCTTTGTTAGTAAAAAGAATATTTTTGGTTTTTGCTTGATTTTCTTGCTGACGACGTGATAATTTTCGCATAAAAATTCCCTAATAAAATTAACAATCTACAATTAATCTGTGATTGAAATACCCATGTTACGGGCAGTTCCTTCAACAATTTTTACAGCACTTGTAAGTTTTGTAGTGTTTAAATCTGGTAATTTAATGCTAGCAATTTCTTCTAATTGAGCTTTAGTAATTGAACCGACATTTACACTATTAGGTGTCGATGAACCTTTTTTAATTTTTGCTGCATTTGCTAATAAAACAGAAGCTGGTGGTGTTTTAAGAATAAAAGTATAACTTCTATCTTCATAAACTGAAATTTCTACAGGAATAATTAACCCAGTTTTATCACCAGTTTTTGCATTATATTCTTTACAAAATGCTGCAATATTAACACCATGTTGACCTAAAGCTGGACCTACAGGAGGTGCTGGTGTTGCTTTAGCCGCGGGTAATGCTAATTTAATTAATGCTGTTACTTTTTTAGCCATAGTAATTACCGTTTTTTATTTCATTTTGAACTTGAATGAAGTAAACACTAATCTTTATAAAAGATATTGTTTTCATTGAAAGCTGAAATAACCTTTAAATTCGAAAAACGATTTGAAAAGATTAAATACGGATTGCTTTTTAAATTTAAATTCTATCTAAAAAATAAGAACCTCTTATAAATAAGAGAAGCGCGCCCTGAAGGACTTGAACCCTCGACATCTAATTTTGGAGACTAGCGTTCTACCAACTGAACTAAGGACGCGTACTTATATTTTAAGTATAATAAAGAAAAAAAGCAAGATGTTAATAGTTCTTTTATTTTAATAAATTCATTTAATAATTCTATTATATGCAGTCTTTATCCAATAACAAGTTATCTTTATCGCATGATCAGTATTTACCACATAATTTTTTAGCTGAAAAAATTATCCTCAGTAGTTTATTAATTAGTTCAGAAGCTATTGAGCTCACAATTCGAAATATTCGTATCGAAACATTTTATTTTAAAAATCATCAGGAATTATATAAGGTAATTCTTGAAATGTACAATAAAAAAATATCAATTGATATTGTTACCTTAAATGCTTTTTTACAAGATACAGGTAAACTTAATTTAATTGGAGGTACGAAAGTTTTAATTGAATTAATTAATTATGTTCCTAATTTATCTTATTTAGAAGAATACATAAAATTAGTTCAAGATAAATTCTTACGTCGTTGTTTAATTAAACTGGGTTATGAAATTATAAATTCCGCTTATATAACAAATGTTTCTTTAGAATCAATTTTTTTAAATTTGGAATCAAAAGTCTTTGAGTTAACAAATGAAATTCAAACTCAAACTGTTGCAACCACAGCAGATTTATTTTCAAATATTTTTTTAGAGTTAAAACAAAAATCTTTAAATCCCTCTTTATCAGGTATTCCATCAGGGTTTTATGATTTAGATTCATTTACTCAAGGTTTTCAAAAATCGGATTTAATTATTATTGCTGGCCGTCCATCAATGGGAAAAACTGCGTTGGCATTAAATATGGGATTAAATATTTTAAAAAATACCAAATTACCTGTCATTTTTTTCAGCTTAGAAATGTCAAAGGAACAACTTACATATCGTTTGTTAACTCATGAAACGGATATTACCAATTTACGGTTAAAAAGTGGAAATCTTTATAAAGAAGATTGGAGTTTATTAAATCAAACAATGAAAAATTTATCAACATTGCCATTATTTTTAGATGATACACCAAATCCTTCAATTCAAGATCTAAAGTCGAAATTAAAAAAAATTCTTTTTGAACAAGGTCAAATTGGTTTAGTAATTATTGATTATTTACAGCTAATGCAGAATAGTCAATTGAAAACGGATAATAGAGCACAAGAACTTTCACAAATTACTCGTTCATTAAAAAATCTTGCACGTGAATTTAACATTCCAATTATTGCTTTATCACAATTAAGTCGAAGTGTTGAAAATCGACCTAATAAACGGCCGATTCTATCAGATTTACGAGAAAGTGGTTCAATTGAACAAGATGCTGATTTAGTTTTAATGCTCTATCGTGAAAGTTATTATTTAACGAATGATGAGAATCGTTCACAAAATAATTCTGATTTAGTTGAATTAATCATTACTAAACAACGAAATGGTCCAATTGGAACTGTTGAGTTCCTATTTGATTCTAGTCGAACGAAATTTAGCAATCTTGAATAAATGCCCAGAACCAGATTCGAACTGGTGACACGAGGATCTTCAATCCACTGCTCTACCAACTGAGCTATCCGGGCTTAATAAATATTATAATATAAGAAGCCAAAAATAACAATACATGTTTTATTAATTAATAGTTGATTTTTTCTATAAAATTTAGTATTCTATATATTGGGTATAGTTTTTAATAAGATTTTAAACAAGCTTATTTTGTCAGAATCGTAAGATAGCAGCATAAAGTTTGTCTTAAATATTTGTATTAATGCTATACCTTTTATTTTTAGCAATAAAAATAATGATCTCATAATTTTTTTTATTTTAATTTAATTCAAACATAATTAGAAAGTATTTAGTCTAAAATATTAATTATGTTTTTTTTTCAAAAAGCTGATACAATTAATACTGTAGTCAATCTTACTATTTTTAATTTAAAAAAACGGAATTAGAAATGACAGCTTCTTTATCAAATTTTATATCTAGTTTAGTTGCAGGTGGTGTTGTAGTAGGTGCTATTGCAGCAGCTTTAATTTTTATCAGTAAAAGTGACCGTATTGTACGTTCTTAATTAAAATATAAATTAAATATTTATAATTAATTACTAGCTTTATAAGAGTACTTATGATAAACATTGGTTTTGGTCCAAATATTTTATTAGGTTTAATCCTAGGATTCGGAGTTATATTGTTATATTTTCTTCGAGTTGTTAAACCTGAAGTAGCACGAGATGAAGATATTTTTTTTGCAACGATTGGATTGTTATATAGTTGTATTTTAATGGTCCATGGTTGGAGACTAGATCCAATTTTATTGTTTAGTCAGGTTTTAATTATCGCATCTCTTTTAGTTGCTGGCTGGGAAAATATTCGATTACGAGGGTTGCTCGCAAATATGGCAAAACTAAAAAAAAAAGGGTAGATAATTATTCTCTTTTATCTTCTTGGTTTCAATTTTATAAATAATGGTTTTAAATTATGTTTAAAAAATATTCTAAATTTTGCGCTTTAATTTTATTTGGTATTTTTAACATTTTTGTTACAACAGCTTCTGCTATTGATTTAGATGAAGCAACACGAACTGTAGTTGTTGATAGTGCTGGAAATACAACAGTTTTAACACCTGAACAGGTAAAACGAGGTAAACGTTTATTTAACGCGACTTGTGGTGCTTGTCACGTTGGTGGTATTACAAAAACAAACCCTAACGTTGGTTTAGATCCTGAGGCATTAAGTTTAGCTACACCACGTCGTGATAACATCAACAGCTTAGTTGATTATATTAAAAATCCAACAACATATGATGGGTTAGATTCAATTGCTGAAACACACCCTAGTATTAAGAGTGCGGATATTTACCCACGTATGCGTTCTTTAACAGATGAAGATTTATATTCAATCGCTGGACACATTATGTTATCTCCACGAATTGTTAGTGAAAAATGGGGTGGTGGTAAAATTTATTACTAAATTTTATACTACAGCTTTAAGTTCAATTAGTTTATTGAACTTAAAGTTTGAAAAATCAAATTTTAGTCTTGTCAGATTTAATTTTTTGATGATATTATAAAATTTAGGTTCAAGGATAAATTTTACTAATTTTATTTTATAGTAGAGTTTCGAATTTTTTGTCTAAGCATGTAGCTCAGTGGATAGAGCATCAGATTCCGATTCTGAAAGTCGGGGGTTCGATTCCCTTCATGCTTATGAGACTAATAAAAGTTTTATTCTTCAAGGGGCTGACTTGGTTTTGACATTTAAATATTAAGTAGAGTATGATGCTGGTCGAAGCCTGTATTCTTCGTAAAAACATACATTTTTTATAATAAATGCTAACAACGTAATTCCTTTTAACTTCAAACAAGTAAACAACCGTTCTCTTGCATTTGCAGTTTAAAATATCTGATATTTGTTAAATTTGTTTGTTCGCTATAACTAGACTTTTGTTTTTTTTATAGTTTAGAATATATTTAAATTTTGTTCATATTTTGAACTATGCCTGTGAATGAGTACTTTAATATTATTTAAATGGACGTGGGTTCGATTCCCATCAGCTCCATAAAAGCATCTGTGGCCGAGTGGTTGAAGGCACCGGACTCATAATCCGTTTTCCTTTGGAACGTCACTGGTTCGAACCCAGTCGGATGCATTTCCAAAATTTTTAATATTGTTTTTTTGACAGGATAACTGTACTATTGCTAGTAATAAATTATTAGAATCTAAAAGTTTTATGGTTAAATTAAATAAACAACAAGCCATTGATAATTTAAACCAAAGTTTTTTAAAAACAGATTTACCAATTATTCGTATTGGTGATAATGTTAAAGTTGGTGTTAAAATTATTGAAGGTAACAAAGAACGTGTTCAATTTTACGAAGGAACAGTAATTGCGAAAAAAAATAGTTCAATTAATACAACAATTACGGTACGTAAAGTATTACAAGGTATTGGTGTAGAACGTATTTTTTTAATTCATTCACCTAAAGTTGATTCAATTCAAGTATTACGCTCATCAAAAGTTCGACGTGCGAAATTATACTACTTACGTGAATTAAAAGGTAAAGCTGGTCGTTTAAAACAAGCTTTTAAATAAAATTAAAAGTTTTGAAAAATTAAAAAAAAAAAATTTATACGGAAATTCCGTAGTATAATATGAGATAGTAAAGTAATAAGCAAATTATTATTTCAATATTTACTTTATATTAACTTAAAAAAGGATTTTTATGTCTATTTACACAGTAGTGTTAAAAAGTGAAGAGCACGATATCGATACAACAGTTGACTGTAATGATGATGTATTCATCTTAGATGCTGCAGAAGAAAACGGTATTGATTTACCATACTCTTGTCGTGCAGGTGCTTGTTCAACTTGTGCTGGTAAAGTTGTTGAAGGTACAATTGATCAATCAGAGCAAACTTTCTTAGATGATGATCAAGTAGGTGCTGGTTTCGTTTTAACTTGTATTGCATACCCTAAATCTGATTGTACTATTTTAGTACACCAAGAAGACGAATTATACTAAAAAATAATTTTAAAAAAGGAATGACTTAATTAAAAAGTCATTCCTTTTGAATTTTTGAAATTAGAAGTTAAGCTCTGCAGCTTGAACTTTCTCAAATTGTTTTTTCTTTAAAATTAAGAAAACTTGTGTTAATAAAACACTGAAACAGAAAGCTAAATAGCCGATAATACGTTCAGGTTTTTGTAATACAATTTCAGTTTCTTCTTGACCAAAACCACCCACATTTGGATCAATGTTTAATGATTGATCAGCTTTAACCACATCACCTACTTTTACAGTTAATTTTAAACCAGCAGGAACAATTTGTGATGTTGATGTTCCAGTAGAACTAACAATTGTTACATTTGATTCTTCTTTAGCTGTAGTTGTAATTTCTGTAATTTGACCAGCTTGAACAGCACCAAAACTGTTAATATTACTCTTTTCACCAGTTGGGTAAACTTGACCACGACCACGGTTACCACCTGCGTACATTGGGTACGTTAAGTATTTAACATCTGCGTTTTTTGCTGGATCTGGTGCTAAAACAGGGAAAATAAGTTCTTGGTGTGTTTTACCTGCAATTGGACCTACTACTAAGATATTATCAAATTCAGTACTATATGGTGAAATAAAGACACCTTTATTTTTTTGTTTTACTGCATCAGGAATTTGGTTTTTAGGAGCTAATTTGAAACCTGTTGGTAAAATTACAATACCACCAACGTTTAAATCAGCTTTTTTACCATTTGCGCCAATTTGTTGACGTGATGTATCGTATGGTACTTTTACTTCAACTTCAAATACTGAATTTGGAAGAACAGCTTGAGGAGCTTCAATTTCAATTGCTTTTTGATTTAAGTGACAGTTAGCACAAGCTAATTTACCGTTTGCTGCACGTGGGTTTGAATAACCTTGTTGTGCAAAAACAGGATAGGCTACAGAATTTTCAACTGATAAACCAAATACACTTACAGCAATTGTTAAAGTAAATAAAAGACTTTTAAAAAACTTATTAGTTGCCATGGATTAAATACTTTTTAAGTATATATTTATAAATTATTTTTTTATTAAAAGCAGGATTCCTACACCCGAAAAATATAACAATAAGATTGCTGAAGATAACAGTACTTGTGTTAAAGGGTCAGTAGAAGGAGTTAAAACTGCTCCAATAATTGTTGAAACCAGGATTACATAGCGCCAAGATGCAATCATTTGTTTAGCTGATACAATATTTAATAATCCTAGTAAAATTTGAATAATAGGAATTTGAAAAGCTAAACCTGTACTATAAAATAGAACAAGAATAAATTCAAAATATTGATCAAATGACCAAAATGGCTCAATAACCTCATCACTATAGCTTAAAAAGAAGTTTAAAGCTGCTGGAATTAAGGCATAATATGAAAATGCTAGTCCCAATCCAAAGAGACATAAAGAACTTAACAATAATGGTAAGATAATTTTTGTTTCTTTTTTTGTTAGTCCAGGTAATAAAAATAAAATTAATTGTCCTATCGCAAATGGACTACCAAATAATAACCCAGTATAAAATGAAATTTTTACTGTTGAAACAAAATATTCACCAGGCGATAGTTGAAAAAATTTTACATTACTAACGGGTAGTTCTAAGATTTTAACTAAAAATTTAACGTCAAAAAATGCAACACACGTTAAAATTAAAATAACCCAAACAATATGAAAAAGTCTTTGACGTAATTCTTCAATATGTTCTGAAAAAGGTAATTCTAATGTACTTGCGTCATTTTGTTGAAAATTAAAATCAGAATTTGTTATCATATATTAGAATTTTGATTTGTTAAAGTACGTTATTTTTCAAACTTTAATCAACAATTCTTTTATTGATTAGAAAAATATAAAACTAAATTAGTATAATTTAGTTTTATATTTATTATTATGATAAATAATTGATAGCTTCAACACGAGCCGTAGCTTTTTTTAATTCAATTGAAGCATCAAGTTTTGCTTTACTAGTTTCTGCGGTCTCTACAGCTACCGTAGCTTTTTCTAGTTCTTGTGTCGCTTCACTTAATTCAATTGATTCAAGTTCTTCTACATCATTTACTAAAACTGTAACTCGATTACGGTCAATTTCCGCTAAACCACCACATAAAATAATGGGCGTCCATTTGTTATCAAGTTTGATTCTTAGTAAACCTGTATCTAAAGCTGTAATTAAAGCAGCGTGTCCATCTAATACACCTACTTGACCTGTTAAACCAGGTAATACAACTTCATCTGCTGTTGTTGAACAGATTACTCTATCTGGAGTAAGTACGCGAATATTTAGAACCATAAAATTAATACTCCTTATTTTAGAGTTTCTGCTTTTGCAATTGCTTCGTCAATATCCCCTACAAGATAGAACGCTTGTTCTGGTAAATCATCTAATTCACCGTTTAACACCATTTTGAAACCTTTAATAGTTTGTTCTAAACTTACATATTTACCAGGAGAACCTGTAAAGATTTCTGCTACGAAGAATGGTTGTGATAAGAAACGTTCCACTTTACGAGCACGTGCTACAACTAAACGATCTTCTTCTGATAATTCATCAATACCTAAAATCGCAATAATATCTTGTAATTCTTTGTAACGTTGTAAAGTTTCTTTTACAGTTTCAGCAATTTCGTAGTGTTCTGCACTTACAATGTTTGGTTGTAACATTGTTGATGTTGAATCTAATGGATCTACCGCAGGGTAAATACCTTTCGCTGCTAAATTACGTGATAATACTGTTGTAGCATCTAAGTGAGCAAATGTTGTAGCTGGGGCTGGATCTGTTAAATCATCGGCAGGTACGTATACAGCTTGAATTGATGTAATAGAACCTTGTGTTGTAGATGTAATACGTTCTTGTAATGCACCCATTTCAGTTGCTAATGTTGGTTGGTAACCTACAGCTGATGGCATACGACCTAATAATGCAGATACTTCAGAACCTGCTTGTGTGAAACGGAAAATGTTATCAATAAATAATAAAACATCCTGTTTGTTTACATCACGGAAGTATTCAGCCATTGTTAAAGCTGTTAAACCTACACGCATACGTGCCCCTGGAGGTTCGTTCATTTGACCATATACTAAGGCTACTTTTGATTCAGCGAAATTACTTGAATTAATTACGCCAGATTCTTTCATCTCTTCGTATAAATCGTTACCTTCACGAGTACGTTCACCTACACCACCAAATACTGATACACCACCGTGTGCTTTAGCAATGTTATTAATTAATTCCATAATTAATACAGTTTTACCTACACCGGCACCACCAAATAAACCAATTTTACCACCACGACGGTATGGAGCTAATAAATCAACTACTTTAATACCAGTTTCAAAAATTGATGGTTTTGTTTCTAAGTCTGTGAATGCAGGAGCATCACGGTGAATTGGTAATGTTTCATCTGCTGAAACGTCACCTTGTTCATCTACTGGCTCACCAATAACATTGAAAATACGGCCTAAAGTTGGAGTACCTACAGGTACACTAATTGGAGCACCTAAATCAACTGCTTCAACACCACGTTTTAAACCATCTGTTGAACGCATTGATACAGCACGTACTTTATTATCACCTAATAATTGTTGTACTTCTACAACATTACCAATTCCATCCTCTGTTTCAATTAAAATTGCACTATAAATTGGTGGTAAATTACCGTTTGGGAATTCGATATCTAATACCGGACCAATAATTTGACTAACGAAACCTATATTTTTTTCAGTTTGTACCATTTTGACTTAACATATTTAAATATTTAAGAATAAATATACTTTCGAAATTTGCTTAAGTTAGTAACGACTTAGCAAATTTAAAACTTATTAACTATGTATTATTGTACAACAAAATAATGATTATTCTTGAATAAAATATTCTAATCATTAAAAATTAACACAGTTAATTCTCTTCGAATAATCGACCACTAACTTTCAACCAGTTTCGCGCTCCTGGGTAGTTATCAGGAGCTAATTTTAAGGCTTGTCGCCAATATTCTCCAGCTTTATCAAAAAATTCTGTTGCTAAAGCACGATA